AATTTTCTAAAGCGAATTTTAACTACCCGTAAATAATATCACGAGGCATTAAATCATGCCGTAGAAAACTTTTCTACGGCAAATTTTAGGTATCCGTAAATAATATAAACCATTCTCCCGACTTGCCGTACATGCCGTAGAAAAGTTATTTAAGGAAGATTTTCACTTATTTACGGTATTTCAAGCTCCCCGTAAATAATATATATATATATATATATATATATATATTATAAATAATGCACCCTTAATTAATTCCTATTAATCATCCACTACCTATAATTCACATCACTTTCAGCTATAATTCATTTCAATTCAAAAAACATACATATCCCATTAAATATATCAAAAGAGTTAAAATATTTTTACAATTCATCATTTATCAATGTTCCAAAACAGAAAATACATCCATTTGTCAAGAAAATCATCAATTTCTTAACACTTCTGTTGAAAAATTGATAAACCTTCTAGCACTTGAGTTTCAGTCTGCACTTGTCAAAAAACCAGCTCATTGTACAAAATCCAAGGAAGTAGCTGCAAAATCCAAGGAAGTAGCTGCAAAATCCAAGAAAGTAACTATATCACACAAGTCTTAAATTCAGAATGCTAATAAAAAAAGAAATAACAAGATTATCATTTTATGAATCAAACACAAACATTTTGCTAAGAATTTTTTCCTTTGATCTGCTTTTATATTTGAAGCAGATAATTTTCCTTAATTGAATACTAGATTTTTGCAAGGATGTATGAGAACAGACAATATCATAATCTCTTTATATTCATGAACACTACAATATCATAATATGTAGTCTCTTTATCTCATGATTATGAGCAATTCTGAAACAAATCGGAAACATTGTAGGTTTTTGGTGCAACGATTATGAGCAAATCTGAAACTTTAAATACAAGTCAAGTCTTATATATATATATATATATATATATATATATATATATATATATATATATATTATCTCAGTTTGTTGGTAGTTTAATTTATATATGTTTTTTTTTTTAAACTGAAATTCAGTGTTTTAACATTGAAGATGCTGTTGTAACCTTGCATTGGAATATACCTTTGCTTGTTAATTGGTTATTAATACCTAAGCAAGTGTATCTAGCCTATTGAAGACTAAGGGAGTGGACTTCTTCGGGACGTTAAAGGGAACTCGAATAAGTTTAATTCAAAACTCTCAATTTCTTTCAAAGATTCAAACTTTTAGAATTAAAAAGGTCTAGTGATATAACAGGTACCTTGATTGAGGTTTTTTCAATCAAAGATTCAATCTTTTCTCATTAAAACACTCTACGGTACGTCAAAGGGAACTCGAATATGTTTAACTCAGAACTCTCATTTTCTTTCAAAAATTCAATCTTTTTACATTAAAAAGGTCTAGTGACATAGTAGGTACATTGATTGGGTAAACCTCTCTTTCAATTTTGGTTGTTGTAGTTATTCTTCAGAAGGCTTCGTTGCTCCAAAACCTTCATATATATATATACACACACACACACACTATTTGCTTAGAGAAAGAAGGATGATGACCCGTATCATTTTTATGGCATATATGCAGCGGCTAGTTCTTAGCCACCAAACCAACCCACCAACATCTTGACAAGTTGGAGTTTGGTTTAGGAAAGTGGACCTTCTATGGACACATCACACATGACTTGCATCTAAGCTAATGAGGTTGTTATGACAATTACCAGCCCCATGACCCTAACCCAGTTTGAGACTGGGGAGATGTGTAATTATAATGGATTGGTTAGAGATATTCTCCAACCAGTGAATATTTTATCAACTTCTATATAAAATACACACTATCCACAATGACCTGTATCATTTTTATGGCATATATACAGTGGCTAGTTCTTAGCCACCAAACCAACCCACCAACATCTTGACAATTTGAAGTTTGGTTTAGGAAAGTGGACCTTCTATGGACACATCACACATGACTTGCATCTAAGCTAATGAGGTTGTTATGACAATTGCCAGCCCTATGACCCTAACCCAGTTGGAGACTGGGGATATGTGTAATTATAATGGATTGGTTAGAGATCTTCTCCAACCAGTGAATATTTTATCAACTTCTATATAAAATACACACTATCCACAATTAGTCTCAACAATGCAAGCAAAATTTTAAACCACCCTCCACACTTACTTACCTTTTTTTCCCTTATTTATTCTTCTTTTATTTATTTATTTCTCCAATTTCTCTCTTTCAAGTATCAAACAAAAGAACACAAATTATTTATCTTCCTTTCTTCTTTTGGCTTCTATCTTATCTCTGTAAATTCTGTAAAATAGAACACAAAGCTGAAAAAAGGGCATAACGGAGCCAACTTTGAGGGAGGAATCTGTAAATTCTAAAACGTTAAAGGTATTGCCTGTAATTTGGCCTAACCTTGAGGGAAGAAACAGATCTAAGCTTTCTCTCCATTAGACCCCAATTCATTCCTCTTTTGCCGGCTTCTTTATGGTGGTTTTAGCAACTTTTTATGTCATTTACTTGGGACTCGCCCTACCTGACACAATAATGAGCATTTGTAATAACCTTTACCCTATCCAAATACAAGGGTATATAATGAAACGTTTGTACATGTGGAGGAAGGGAAGTGGTATGGTGTAATGGTCAGATTCATGCCGTTAATCTCTCTCTCTCTCTCTCCCTCCCTTTTAGGGGGTTTGAAGGGAGTACCGGATGTTCATATTCTTGTTAACGGTATTCCCTGCTTAGATGCAGACTATAGACTAGGACTGATTTAGAATTAAGAATAACTGTAAAATTGTTGAATTTGTATCGTTAATTTATCTCTTTCCCTCATGTGTAAATCAATCTAATTGTTTTCCTAGAGAGATCCTGAATTCTCAAGATTGCTGTATTTCTGGTATCAGCAATCATGTATATATTGTTGCTTTAGAACTCTTAGCATGCATTTTATCTTGCATGGGCAATAAATAATACTATCATTGTTCTAAGCAGAAAAATGATTAACTTGGCTTCGAAAGGGGTATTGACATTTATATTCATGAACACTACAATATCATAATATGTAGTCTCTTTATCCCATAATTATGAACAAATCTGAAATTCATGAACACTACATCTCAGTTTGTTGGTAGTTTAATTTATATATGTTTTCTTTTTAAAACTGAAATTCAGTGTTTTAACACAAGATGGTGTTGTAACCTTGCATTGGCATATACCTTGCTTGTTAATTGGTTATTAATACCTAACCAAGTGTATCTAGCCTATTAAAGACTAGGGGAGTGGACTGTGAGGTGTTCCTAAGCTTAAATCACAAAGTTGCCCTTGAAAGCTTAAAAGCTAGGTTTTGGTGGGATTAAGCCTGCTTGTGTGTGCCTATTGCTGTAACTTGCCATGTAAAGTGTTCTAAACAATCAAGCAAGTATAATTTGATGATACAAGGTTGTGGGAGTTAATTGAAGACCTGAACAGAAGCTGCATTGTGAAAAGACTTGTCTAACCTCAATTTTGGGGTTTAAGCCTTTGTGAAGAAAAACTATTTTATCTTACTCCTATCATTGTGCTATTCTTTTGAGCAAGTGTTTTTGAAGATACCTAGGTTGGGGGAAACAAGTAAAGGTCTGTTTTGAAGCTACATTATGAAGTTACTGGTTTAACATTGGGTACACTTCAACATATAAAAACCAATGGTTAGTGATCTTTTAATATTTTCATCACAAGTACATCTTATTTTCATCAAATGTCAATATATAATTTTTTTATAATTTTTTTTCTGAGTTAAATGATAATGAATATCTTCACATATAATAATAAATCAAATGTTTCATGACCTAGTTTTAACTCTTTTGATATAGCATATTGCTGTCATTCTATATAGAAAAGGAAAGGTGCATTTGTGTTTGTTTTGTGGGGGCCCAAAGTTTTAAAGAAATCTCCTTCCCATCAATAATTTCTATACTTTGTGATTTCTTCATTCAACACATGACTCTTTTGACTCTTAAAAGTGATGACTCATAACTTACTATTCTCATACTATTCTCAGTGGTGGTTGTTTGTTGGCGGCTTTGTGTTTGCATTTGGCTTTGTCAAATTTGGATGGAGTGGAAAAATGGTATAAATGAAGTTCTTATCATATTTTTAAATCATCAATTAATGAAATTGAACAGTCAAAGTGGTCATAGTGATGCAAAACATATCTTATATCATACATTTTGACTCCTCATAATAGAATTTTACTTCTACTCTTGTGCATATTTTTGAAAGAATTATGAAATAGAGCAAACTAAATAGATTGAATATAAAAATTCCATATAATGTTACAATTCTCTTTTTTTAAAACCACTTTATATTATTATTTTTAATTCAGAAAATTATTTAATAAAAATATCAATCATGCACACGTAATCGATCCAAGAAAAATCTCATGACATCAACAACTTCTCCTCCACAACAATCAATCAAAACCTCCATATACGATGATCCCATACTCCCATGCTTTCAACATTTTAAAACAAGAAATAAAATTTAATAGCCTCCACACGGGCCGATGTACCAATAAGGTAATAAAGTTCAAGATACACCGCAATATTGGTCACTTAAAGGCACGTGACCCCCTAAGTATGAGTATAAAAAGTATTAAAATTGTGCAATCATAAAAGAAGCTTAGTATTTGACCTTTGTTGTAGACTGGAATCATAGAAATTCTGATTCTTCTGCTCCTAATGAACTGGTAATAATCAATCCTGTCAAAAAAAAATATTTCAAAAATGTAATGCAAACAAATACATAAAAAATCAGATCGTATGACTAATTTAAGAAATATAATAATAAGTTAATGAATGACTAATTAACCTGAATAATTTTCACATATTTCTTAGGCCATACAACCGAGCTTGTGTTAGCATCACGAAGATAAAAATTTCCATTTAGGCTTGCTCGATACAAAGGACAGTCGCCGACCAAGATATCATCAATCCATACTTTCTAACAATCTGGACCAATTGGAAAATGATCTTCTAACGCATTGGGATCCGTTGCTGCTATCTCAGCCTTTGCAACAACTACACCTAACCCATTCCAGTGTAACAACTCACATTTTAAACCTTGTAGATCTTCTATAATAGGACTTGGCATAGCATTAGACTAAGAACCAGCGCTAGCATTTTGGGACTACAATTAATGAAAACATGGATTAAAAAAACTAGTACATTAAATTCAAATGCTATATAGGCAGAAAATAATACGTATATAAATTGTTGTAACACTTACCAACAAGGCTTTTATCTCATTCATAATCTCATTTCTCATTTCATGTTTGATTTGTTCTACTCTTTGTTCAACTATTTCTTCTACCCTTTTTGTTTGCACCCTTTGAAAACCATTTGCCTCAATTTTAGAGATTGTTGCTCCAAAACCAAGGCCTCTAACTCGGCCTTTATGTTCTGGACCAAGTACATGAGTGACTCCATCATCTCGAAGAGAGCTTGTGCCTTTAGGTTGGGTTTTGGTGTACTCTTTCATTTGTTTCTAAAATTCCATATTTTAAACATGCTTGTTGTTATGCATTTAAGCATGTTTATAAATGGAATTTTAAAAAATATAAGATAGGTAGGAAATATATATTACCACTGCTTCTTCTGTCGCATCGTTCAAAGGTTTCCCACCCTTCCTCATGTGACCTTCGATCCATACATCAACCCTTGTTATAGAGTCAGGTGCATCACTTTTTTTTCTCTACACAGGAACAATATTTGTGTACAGATAATAGAACATGTTAATATTGTACAAGTTAGTATAATATTTGTGTAAAATTTGCTAATAAAAAAATTTTCAAATACTTACACGAGTGCTGCAGCGATTACAAGAGAGGCTGTGCTAAAGAGGACAGAAATGTGTGTTCTTAGCTCTATTTGAGCTACATTTGAGAGGCTGTGCTAAAGAGGACTCAAGACCAAAGAATAAGAGAGGTTTACAGAGATTTTAAATGATCATTTGAGCTGAAATTCAACCCTAAATTCAGTATAAAATGAGGGTCTCAAAGATAATCAAAGAGGGCCAAGAGTATAAAATGAGGGTCTCAAATACATATATGAGTGCTGAGGGTCTTTTTTGGAGCTGAGACAAGGGCTGAGCAAGTATAAGTTGGTGATTTACATCTACAGGAAGCCACAAAAACAACAACTCTAGAGCTGGTATCAATTCTCAGATCTCAAACTTGCTCTATATTTAATTTCTGATGCATTGCAGCTGTATGTGAACTTAAAAGTGATACATTTTTATGTTACATGCATTATTGTTGCTTGATCATACTTATAATGATGATACAGAGCTGTACAATCTAAGCTACATATCAAAAAAATAACCTTTATAGTTTTAGGCCTAATAGACTTAACAAATCAGGTTTTGTTTAAATTTAATGGCCTGCTGTGAGTGCTGTGACTGTCATACTTGAGTGTAGTTGACATAATTTTCATCTGAGCACCTCTAGTTTGATATTATATGAATAGAAGAATTGAGAATTGAGATGTACCATAGCAAATTTACAATTCTGTCCCTGAGAACATCACTGCTGTAGAAAATAATTGTGAAGCTTGGTTTGGGTTGTGACTTATTACTAACTTGTTAAAAACTGAGTTGTGGTAATTGAAGCATGTGTTATATGATGATTGTAAGCTGTGGAAGCTAGTTTCAAGAAAGACCAGCCATAGAATTAGTAAAGTGCCCCTGAAACAGAAAAGGCTAAGACAAGACTATGGGAATCTATTTTGAGCATCAAGAGAAGCTGCATTGTGGTTTGAAAGTTGTATCCCTATTGGTGTAGAGAATTGAAGCTAAGATTTCCTATGTTGTATACTTTGAGCTGAAATTTCCACTAATAATGCACAATTAAGCTTCCAAAGCACATGATTAAATACAAAATATCGATACAAAATATGTCTGACACGTGTACAAAATCAAACAACAAGATCCATTCATGGGATGAAAGAAGAAAAGAAAGATGGAATAATTAGTTCTACTTACCATTTCATCCTCTAGACGAGCATACCCCTTACGACTTGTTGTGTGAGGCATCTTTTGCTTCTTTCGCAATTCTTGAGATTTTTCTCTCTTTCGCTATAAACAAATAATATAATTACTAATTTCTAAAGAAGAAAGTTATTATAGTTGTGGTAATTTGATCAATATTTTACTTACTTTGTGGTCATCAGAAAGTCGATTACTCACAAACTGTTGCCACTCATCGATTGATTGTATACTGTCGGGCTTTAATGAATCAATAGCCTCTGTATCTTCATTTGACTTATATATGTTGGTTGTAAGGCGTGTTCTATAATCACCCCAACTCTTTCCCATTCTTCTAAAAGCATCCTTTTTATGAAAATCAGGGACTTCAAATTTTTGCTGCATTTAGTGTAAAAATCAAACAATCAGTAGTTTTTGGGAAAATTTCCTATCATTAATGGCTTAGGTCCAATTATGAATGGTGGTGTGTGCTATTAAATTTGGTCATCACTTTTATTTCAATTATAATTCTAAAACTGAATCTTAGGTCAAATACCTATAATGAAACAAATATATCACATAAAATGCAAGAAAAGAACATACCTTTATAGATGTCCATATGAGTCTTTCTTTCTCAGCTGAAGCCTCTTTCCACTTTTTTGAGCTAATTGGAACATTCTGTCGTGCTATTATTCCAATGCTAGTAGAATTTTTTTTACTATTCTCACCAATTGGTTGCCCTCTTTCATTGAATTCAATTGGAAGTGGTGACTCGTTATCATTTACTACTGCATTTGCTAATATTGATGGACCTCTACCCTTATGAGGACCCTTGTGAGTAGAGGGAGTTATTGAAGCATCATTTGCCGAGGTGCTTCCACTATCATGATCGATTGGAACGCAGCTAGAACCTCTAGATTGTCCACCTAACTGTGTATGGGGAGAGTTTGAATCTCGATCTGATATAGTAATTCCCTCATTTCCCGAAGTCCTTAATGCTGCCACAATACAATTCCTCTCTCTTAGTCCTCTTTTTGCACCAACTTTAGAGGACTTTATATGAGAAAATATGCAAGATAAGAAAATAAGAAAAACCATTAAAATTTAATACGAGGCAACAAAATTATAATTTAAAATCGATATATTAATTACTTACTTCTGCGGGACCACGCATGTTGAAATTTATCTATTTTTTTCCCTCTTCAATTCTTACTCCTTTGCTCTTATAATGAGAATGACCTATTTTTAAAAACAAAAAGTTCCAAAAAAAAAAAAAAAAACAAAGTATTTCAAGCCATAGATATTTCAAGCATAACATTACATATCATTTTTCCCCTGTATATTAGTGTATTGGTGATAGAACTCAGGGTCCAGACAATACAAGATGCATAAGAATGTTTAAATATAAAAAATACATATATGTTCTTGCAAATATAGATGATATTAAGGGTGTTTTACACCTTCAGATAGACCCACAAAACATGTGTACAAGTTATTTAAACAAAAGTAAAGCCTATATGGAGTAGTATTTAAAAGATAAAAAGAGTGAGTGAGGTGTAAAGTTATAAGAAGACATGTCATAAAGCACTACAATAGAATGCGAAAAACCTGATTTATGTAACATAAGACAGTAAAAGGCTATTACATAAACAAAGTCCTAAAATAAAATAAAATAAAATGACTTCTAGTAAAATCTTAATATATCGACACGGTCATGCCCTCACAATCCAACCGCACATACTCTTCATTGCCATCATCATCATCATTTGAGTCCAATCTTGATACATCTAATGGCATAGAAGACACATAACTATTTTCTTCAAAAGACTCCAAGTCATTAAAACTTCTTGGCGGCGCTTTAAGTACAACATACCAATTAGATGTTTCATCTTCCCTTGAATAAAAAACTTGCTTAGCCTGTAAAGCAAGAATAAAAGGATCACTTTGAAACTGACTTTGACCTTCATGAAGGTTAACTAATACAAATCCATCTTCAACTTTGATGCCATTTCTAATGTTTGCCCACTCACAATCAAAGATTGGCACTTTAAATGTGTGGTAATCTAACAAAAGTATATCTTTTAAAACACCATAGTAAGATACTTTTCCTAGAACTTGATTTGTATCTCTTGCACTAGATTGACATATAATTTCCGCTTCAAGCGAAACACCACTATCTTGTGTGCTTATCTCCACATCCTTGGTGTGAAATCGTTGTCCATTAATAATATATCCCGAATGTGAAATGACTTCTCTTCTAGGCCCATTTGCAAGACACATTAGTGTATCGGACACATCATTACCAACTGCACTAATTTCATTTGCAAACCACAAACAAAAAGTCTCCATATGTTTCTTTTGTAATGCGCTTGCATTCCTTATGAGACGCATGTCCATCTGCTTAAGCTCCTCCAAATGTTTTCTATGAAGCAAACACTATTGGTAAGTTTTCATTGTTATTTTTATAACAAATTAATAAGTCCTGAAGATATCATACTTACCCTGTGTACGGTTCCACCTCTACATTATTGAACAAGACATAACGGTGAGCAATTTATAACATGTCATTCGACATGACTTTCAAAATTCCTTTTGAAATTGGATGGCCATCTATTGTTGTCTCACCTTTAAAATCCTCATTTCGAGAATGTCTCACCCCCATTTTAGAAGCTTGTTTGATGTGCTCACTACAAAATTTCACACACTCATCAGCCAAATAGCCTTCAGCTATGCATCCTTCAGGTCTCGCCCTATTTCTAACATATCCTTTATAAACCTTCATCATCCTAAAACACATAAAAACAAAATAAATTATATATATGTTATAATATTAAATATCTAACTCCATAAAAGAAGGAAAAGTTGATATTAGTACCTCTCAAATGGGTACATCCAACGAAATTGTACTGGTCCACAAATACAAGCTTCGCGTGCGATGTGAATAGTCAAGTGAACCATAATGTCGAAAAAAGATGGAGGAAAAAATCTTTCTAACATACACAATGTCTCAGCAATTTCATTTTCCTGTCTTTCCATTGAGTTCCTATCAATCACCCTTTGGCATACTTCATTAAAATATGCGCATAGGCGAAATATGGCATTCCTTACAGCCTTTGGTAGAATTCCCCGTAACGCTACCGGTAGTAATTGTTGCATTAGGACATGATAATCATGAGATTTCAAGCCTACAACCTTGCATTCATCCAATGATATATGTGTCCCAATGTTGGAACTATAGCCGTCTGGTAGCTTTAATTGTTGTAATCGCTTACAAAAAAGCTGTTTTTCTTCCTTCTTTAGTGTATGAGGTGCTGGTGGCAAGAAATGTTTCCCTTTTGAATCTTGTGGGTGCAAATCCCCCCTGATGCCCATTTCCTCCAAATCCCTATGAGACTTGAGTCCATCCTTTGATTTTCCTTATATGTTCAATAGGGTGCCAATAATACTCTCACAAACATTCTTCTCAATATGCATGACATCTAAGTTATGGTGAACGAGTAATACCTAAAACACAAATAATGGAATAATAGTTTTTTTAAAACATATTATAAACTTAAATAAATAATATTTTATTTAAAAAAAAAAAAACTAAACGACTTTCTATTACAAATACTTACCTCCCAGTATGGTAATTCAAAAAATATGGATTTTTTCTTCCACGCCACATTTTCGTCCTTTTTTGTCTTTTGTTTCCTCTTTCCAATTTTTGGTTTGATATGTAATTTTCCCTTCACTTTTTTACCCCAATCATTTTTAATTTTTTTCACAGCATGAAGAGTTTCAGTCCCAGACAATATTTTAGGCTTCCACCTATGTTCTTCACTCCCATCAAACCAACTCTTCTTTTTTCGAAATGGGTGAGTTAGAGATAGCCATCGACGGTGACCTAAGTAAACGGTCTTGGTGCTACAATTCAACCGCCTTGAACATGTGTCGTCACTACATGTTGGACAAGCTTTTTTACCCTTTGTAACATGACCAGAGAGGTTACTAAAAGCTGGAAAGTCACTAATTGTCCACATCAAGATTACCTTCAAATTAAATGTGGACTTTGCAAATGCATCATAAATTTCCACGCCTTTCTCCCATAGCTCTTTCAAATCATCTATAAGTGGCTCCAAATACACATCTATATCATTTCCCGGTTGCCTCGGCCCTGGGATTAGTAATGTCAACATCATATTCTCTTTAGACATGAGTTCAAGTGGCGAAAGATTATATACCACCAATGTTACTGGCCAACAACTATATGCCGAACTAAGGTCACCAAATGGATTAAACCCATCAGTTGAAAGGCCAAGTCTTAAATTTCGTGAATCTGATGCAAAAGAAGGCCATTTTTTATCTATCGTATGCCATGCAGGCGTGTCAACTGGATGTCGCATCTTTCTATCCCCACTTCTATGAGTTGAATGCCACGTTAGTTGTTTTGCTATTTCAGGGGATCAAAACATTCTTCTAAACCTTGGTACTATTGGAAAGTACCGCAACACCTTAGCTGGGACACCATTTTTAACCTTCTTAGTACGCTCATTCTCTTTCCACCGCGAAGCACCACATTTTGGGCATTTAGTCATGTGCTTATTTTCTTTTCTAAACAAACAACAGTCATTCTTACAAGCATCTATTTTCTCATATCCTAAATCAAATGTCTTCAAAAAAAATTTCGTTTCATAATAGCTCTTAGGAAGTTTGTTATTTTCTGGAAGCATATCCCCAATCATTTGAAGAAGTCCATCAAAACCAGTGTCGGATAAATTAGTTGTTGCTTTGTGCTTGTATAAGGCAACAATTGCAGACATAACCGTATAGTTTGTGCATTCTGGAAATAAAGGGGTCTCAGCATATTCTAACTTCTTTTTAAACTCAACCTCTCTTATTTCATAGTTTGGATCCGAAACATCGTCACCACCATCAAAGAAAATATCTCTATACATCTGATACATCTCTGGCATTTCAACGTCATTTACATCACTTCCATGTTAGGGAGATTCACTCAGATTTTCCCCGTGAAAGTACCAGATCGTGTATGATTGATCCATTCCATTTTCCAATAAATGCCTAAACACCATGTCGAAGTGTTGGTGCTTTGCATTTAGACAACAATTACAAGGGCATAAAATCTTTTCTGGATGGCCCGCATTCGCTTGCGCCTGATCAGCAAACCTCCGTGCTCCTTCTAAATACTTTGGATCAACTCTATAAAATTAAAGCTTTGACATTTAATTAAACTTAAAATTAGTGTAGACAATATTAACTTTTATAAGCACACTCCACTACAAATAATAACTTGTAAGCCATGTGCATCCATTCTTTATCCATCACTATTTGCTTAATTATTTTGTCTACTAACCTATCACAAAAGATAAAAAAAAAAATTGTCAAAATTCTACCAAGAAGAATATCTAACTATATTCATGATAATGTGAATAAAGGCAGACAATGGTCTGTTCAAAGAGTAAGTGTGACAACCTTAAATTTAATTAAGTCTTCCCTATGTTTAGGACTAGAATTACATGATTTTTGATTAAATTTCTTTCTACCTATTTCATGTGTTGCATTTCAATATTAGTACATCCCTAATTGCTTGGAATTTATTTAAATGCATCGGTTGTGCACGGTTCGTTGGCAATTTATAATTCCTTAATTGTCTAGTATATAATTTTTTAATCTAGTATTTAATTTATAGTCATAAGTTTCATTTAATTTTTCTATTTTACTCATGGGATGAATTTAGTTGTTAACAAATAATAATAAAAATAAAGAAATAAAGAAATAAATAAAATGGGTAGAGCCATTAAGTGATTACTTTTGGAAATGAGGGAGTATTGAGATATTAATAGAATGTGGTTTAGTGGGTTTGCATGTGGCAGCATGTAGGGGATCTAGAACTAGGTGTCATTCATATGCAAAACTTGGAGACACGTTTAATTATTTAGCACTACACTTGTAACTAGTTCCCTCATAGTTGTTGTATCCCAAGCCTAAAAGAAAACTTCTAGCCGTGGGTTGTCTGACAGAGAGAAAGAAGAACAGAAAGTGAAGAAGAAGAAGAAGGGTTCAGACTAAGGCTAAAAATGTAGGCATTTTACCCACACACTATCTAATCTCACCACCTCCAGTTGTTAACTTCAATTGGGCAGGGATTCTCTTTAACTCTTGCAGCCTTGAGAGTTATTTTTTTAAAGTTCTGTTTCCCAATTTAATGTTCCATGAAATTATAGTTTTTCTTGTTACAAGTACATGATTTTCTTGTAGTCAAATGCTTGATTTTAGCTAAGATATTATTCATATGCTTGGTCATGATCTGAGTTTTGGTTACATACAAGTATTGCTTATGATTTTATTTCAAAACTCTACATGGTTAAATTGTTTTCCAATCAAAACTTAGCATGTTGGTAGACTGATGTATATTATCAATTTTACGCCAAAATAATTCTGCTTAATCAGATCATGTACCTAAAAGTTAAAACCTCATGGAGGCATTTGTTAAAGGCTTTCCTACTGGGCATTGTCTCACCCTTGTTATTTTTCAGGTCTTGGTGCTCAGGACGGCAATGCTAGACCTGAGCTTGAGTTCCCATAGATGGGATCCTTTTGTGGAGCATCTTCTGCTTGGTGTTTTTGTGTAAAATATTAGCCTGAAGTACTATTTTGTTCATGTTTGATGCCTTATGAAACAATGTTAAGGTCGTGGTTGTTGTGCTAGAGTAAAGATGACAATATGCTCTCTGCTATGTGTTCTTTAGGACAGGGTACTGTATCTAGATGTTTTGTGTATAGCCTACTAATGGTAGCATATGTACTTAGTGACTGGGCATCAGAGCTGTGACTCTTTATTTTGGGTGTACAAATTTGGACTGAAATTATCTTTCTATGGATGACTTTATGCAATATATATATTCTTAGCCTCTTTAGATCTTTGTTATGCCTATGTATTATATAAGTTGTTCATGGGGGTAAGCTCTGAATTTTCTGTTAGAGGGTTTTATTTAAAGAAAAAAAAAATCTGTTTTAAATTTCCTCTAGTACTTTCTTGGAAACGAATTTTAATCAGAGGTTGTATTGCTTCAAACGCTGTGAAATTTTTACCATATGTTTCCCTTTGTGTATAAAGTCTCTCACAAAATTTTTATAATTTTTCGATTGGTGGATATTTTTTAAAAAATCTTATATCATCTGCTGTTTGGTTTCTGGTCACAGTTTGGAACTGAATTTGAGAAAAGAATTTGACGGCCTTCCCGAAATCAATAAATTATGAAAGTTTCCAGTTTTATTATTTCAAGTGTCTAGTTTCTAAAGGTTAAGGCCCCAAAATTTTATTGGCTCTCTAAAAGACTAAGCAGGCCAAAGTTTTACACTTGGTTCCATTTCAGCACAAGCTGTGAGAGCTTTCTTCCTTCCAAAAACTGTTTTCCTTGGTGTTTTTCTAGCATCCGGGAGTGACTCGGTCACATTTTCATCTGAGTCTAGTTTCTAAAAAAATTTAGTTTGCTTCATTTCGATAATAATTGAATTTTCTATGTTTTTTTGAGGAACCGCTGCGCAGAATTTTCTTAAGCTGAAAACTGCTGTTCCATTTTTTTTTTGTTTTAACCTTATTATCACGCCCTATGGTTTTGGGGTGTGACAGTAAGTTGGTAATGAAATAACTCTCACTACACTCTGAGCGTATTTTAGTTTATTGATTTTGGTCCTTAATTATCTTGTTTTATTTTACTTTGGTATGGTGTTGGTGGATGAGATCTTGTGTTGTAGATGTGTGGCAGAGTTTGGGTATTTTGCCTTCTTTTTAGATATTATTTTTCGTGTATGCATATATGTGTGTATGAAAATGTAGATGTGTGGGTTGTTCTAGGTGTTATTTTCACAAATTATTTTGATATGGTGTAGATGTATGAGATTTGATTTGAAGCTAACTTATTCAAGTTGTTGAAGCTGTCAGACATGAATTTTTGAAACGAAGATCTCCATAAAAGAACCCTAATCCTTGCTCTAATTTGAAGCAAAGTTTGACAATTCATTGAGGGCAGCATCGAAGATTGCTTGTATTTGTTCGTTCTATGAAGAAACTAGGGTTCCTATTTTGAATCCACAATTTCTTCAAATTTCAGATGGCTATACACATCAATTTGGAGCAAAAAATCAAGGTTCGTCAATCTCTTTCTGTATATGTATCTATTAGTTTTGATTTTTTGATTAAGAGTGTTTTATATAATTTTAATTTAAGTCAATTCCTATTCAAATATGACCCTCATTGTCCGTAAGTTAGAAATGCTATCTATCTTAACAAAATTAGGACATTTTTCTTAATAGTTTCCCATGCTATCATGTAAATTGAAAAGAGCAACGAGAGAAAAGAACACAAAGAATGATTACTATACTTTGAATTGCAACTTATGGGATAAAAGGCGTAGCGTGGAAGAGCATACCTTTAGAAGAGCAGGAGTCCCTTCTTCTCTAATGATAGTCCTAACACAATCAAATATACCTTTGTACTGGTTTGCTGACCCCTGCAAAGGTTGAAAAGATGAAATGAAGAAAGAATTTGCATTACTCCCCTTCTATGAAAAAGATTAAGACAGAAAGAAAAGTAAGAAAAAAGATCCATTATCTGTACCTGAACCATTAATCTAGTTTTTATGACATCAAGAGGAGTTGTTATAGCTCCAGTGATTGCACCTAAAAATATACAAGATTTGATTTTAAGAGATCCTCAACAAGTAGGGCATTAAATTGAAGCACGTTTTACATTAGTAAGAGTCAGTAACAAACATGGTTGTCAAAGTTACGATTTGAATCAGAGGATCATACGATCCTACCTATTTGATTTTTATTTAGTTTTTCTCTCTTCTTAAAATTTGTTGGGCCTTCAGCTTATTGGTCTCATCCATGTGACATGTCTATATTATGGACAAATATTTGATGACAATATAATAGGGCAAGCAGCCAGTTGATGAATGGTGAAACGATTACATAGTAAAGAGGTAGCCTGCTACTAGCCACAATTTACAAATGTGAATTATTAAATGAATGTTAAAATTCAAGGAATTATGTAAAGGTGTGATTGGCTCTAGTCTAAAGGGTGCTAATAAATTGGATGATTACCATGAATGTCCTTTGCAGAATCACTCTTGTCGATCAAAATTATCCATGGTTTATGAGAAATATGTGCGCTATACATGATAGATATATTCACACAGCTTCCAGAAATAAGTAAAAGTTTATACAAGTATCCATAAGTGATTAAATATGTGCACACCCCTTCTGCTTCCTTTAGCCATGGTGAAATGTAATTAATATCAATCATGTGGACCAAAAAAAGCTCAATCAATGAAAATCCTATCCATCGAATTAAATGCCACAATACTATATATTGTATAGTCAAGGTTGGGGTATAGCAGCGTATAGAATACAATAAATGGATACATCACAAAATCTATCATGGCAGTAAATTTTTTCTTCAACCTAACAAATCCTGTGACCAACTGATAAAAATATTTTTATCTATTCAAGCCATTTGTTGATGATTTTTTAAAACTAATTTGCCACATTTTTTAAAACTTTTAAGACAAAAATTGTGGATTTGATAACACCTAAAAATGGGAAGCTGTGGGTATACTTGTTCAGCTATTTTAGGTATAAGGCCCACACCTCACAAGCCTTGGCTGTCTCGAAATCATCATAAAGTTCCTCATCAACGTGTTCACGATCAACAAGACCAATCATAGAATTAAACTTGCTTCTTCCAATTTCTTCACTAAAGCATCAAAGAATTGAAAATAGTAAAACTAAAGTATTAAATGACATGCTTGATTATCTCATATGTTAAAGCTTGCCTACCTAAGTCATGCTGATATCCATAGTAGGAATATGCACAAATGAAAAGCACTTACATTGTTACTTCTACTACAGGAAGCTCAGATATGGATTCTACTGAATCAAGAGCATTTTCAACAAGTTCTCTCACAGTATTGTAGAGGGATTTCCCTGGCTGAAAGCAAAATAAAATGCAGAAATTGACGATTGAAGGAAAAAGAACAGCTACGAACTTGTACTAACAGCTTTCTATACAGATATCCGGAATTTGACTTTGCCCCTAATTCACTAAATTTAACAACCAACTTCAGACAATTTAAATTTGCAAATTATCTTAGTAGGCGAATATTTATCTAGTTTTCACCCACATAGAGAAATAAATGGAAAATTTCTAACTTCCCCCCCCCCCCCCCCCCCCCCCCCAAAAAAAAAAAAAAAAAAAAAAAAGAATTTCAGAAATTTACAACAAAAAAGTTTTTCGAATCAAATTAATTCAATCGAGGCACTGGACTAGATATAAATTCGCCAATTACTCTCCTAATACTAACACCATGCTTCCATCATCACAAATGAGAGATTATATATTTAATGCAACAAATAGTACATATCAAAATTATTCAACTACAAACTAATACAAGTACTGGGAAAAAAATAAAATAAAATAAAAAAATTACCCTTCACAAAAAATCCCAAAAAATAGCCTCAAAACCATTAAAATTCTAACCCACAGAAATTATACAGGAGGCTAAGAAACTCACATTATCAAACCCAGCAATGTTCTTGCTCTCAGTAAAAAACTCAGCTGGTGATTCTGCAGAAAAACAAATAAATCACCCGAACCCAAATTAACACACAGAAATCTCAAGCAATACCTATATATACAAATAAATAAATAATGCAAAATTGTAGATGTAAATAATTATTTATATACACAGAGAGAGAGAGTAAGTGAGTGAGAGACAAACTAACTCTATTTAAGAAGAAAAACAAATGAATCACCCAAACCCAAATTAACACATAGAAATCTCAAGCAATATCAATATATACAAATAAATAAATAATGCAAAATTGTAGATGTAAATAATTATTTATATACAGAGAGAGAGTGAGTGAGTGAGAGAGAGACAGACTAACTCTATTTAAGAACTCTTTCCTTGGGTTTTCTAGGGCTCTTCGATTTGCCTTTCTTTGCTTCGATTGGACTTTCACTGCTCCAATAGAGAGGCGAACCAGAGGGACATCATCATCTGCATCTTTTTCGTCTAAAGAGAGAGAGCACAGAGGGAAAATTAGGGCTAGCTTCAACGTGATAAAAGGGGAGTAGAGAGAGAAAAGGGATATATAAGGTATTGACAAAAACTATGTCGTTTTTGTCAAATTTTTAATTATGTTTTTTATTAAAAAAAATTCATTTATTTTGCTATTTGGCGCTAAGTTTCCCGCTAGCGGGGAAAATTTTATTTGGAAAATATTGCCTATCTACGGGGCAAAAAAGACGCCTTAAATGTGAAATTTATTCACGGCGTCTTTATTACATCGTAAAAGAACTTAATTATGTTTAATAATATTTTTTAATTAAAAAAATAATTTATCTGGCGCTAAGTTTCCAGCGAGGGGAAGGCTAAAAATAGTATTGCTTATCTACGGGGCAAAAAATACGCCTTAGATGTGAAATCTATTCACAGCGTCTATAATACACCGTAAAAGAACTTAAGTTCGTTTTTTAATTCTTTTCTGTATATATTTTTAAAGTAATTTTAGTAATTTAAGTACTATTGCTTATTTACGGGGAAAAAAAAGACCTTAAATGTAATATTTATCAACGAGCAACATTTATCCCGTGAAAAGTGTACAAATATGCCGTAAATATATCTAAATATTCACGACCTCTTTAATACACCGTAAAAAACATTTTCTACGGAGATTCTACTAAATCCTCGTGAAAACATGTAACAATTACGAGGATTCTTTTAAAAACTCCGTAAATGGTGGTAATCACGAGGCAAAATAAAGAAGCTCCGTAAATACTATGTCGTAAAAGCCCACATTTCTTGTAGTGACATGACGCTAGAATGGTCGTGCTTTAATCTTTTACGAGTGTTATTATTTCCCGTAGCAAGTGGAGAGTATTTACAAGACCATAATAGACGAGAGGCTCAGAAGTCCCGTGAAAAAGTTTTCATGGGAGGTCCAGACACTCGTAAAAGACATTTTTTCTAATAAATTAATTAATAACGAAAGGCTAGTAGTCTCCTTAAATTAATTATTAACGAAGGGCTAGAAATCTCGTGAGAGTTTTATTTACGGGATGCTAGAATCGTCGTGCTTTAATCTTTTGTGAGTGTTATTATTTTTCGTAGTAAATGGAGAGTATTTACAGGACCATAATAGACAAGAGGCTCAGAAGTCCTGTGAAAAAGTTTTCATGGGAGGTCCAAACACTCGTAAAAGACCTTTTTTTTTTCTTATAGTGTGCATTGTCCAATAAGGATATTTTTGTCGGTTTAAATGTGGGGACAAGCTTATCATCATCCCCATGAAAGAGGGGATGTAAGCTTTCCCCATATATATGTGTGTGGATGTGTGTTTATATATATATATATAGAGAGAGAGAGAAAGGAAAAAAGGTAATTTGGTCATCTAATTATTTTGATATCTTACAATTAAAATTTATCAAATAATGAAGGGTAAAATAGACTTTTCATATACTTTTAGGCACTGTTTGGATTTTAAATTTCACAAGGGGGTGTCGCATATTGTCCAAATTAGGCCAACTTGTATATGGTTGTCCTTATGCCAAACATCAGGAGGTGTCATTGTACTTTACCCTTGATTTTAGTAGTAGATGTAATTGCAATATTTCATAAATTATTAATGCTTATTATTTGTTGTGTTATTCATGAATATTAAGTTTATTTAATTATTAAAAAAAAAAATGTTTTTCAAAAGGGATTTGATTTTGAGTTATTAAATAAATATTAAGGGGTTGAATGTATTTTTAATTAGGTAGATATAGGAATATCCAAAAGTAACTTATTTGTTTAATTAAATAATGCATTATCCAATAAAATTATACATATAAATACATTTAAGCATCATTATTAGTATTTTGTGGTTATCACCCAAACATAGTTATACAATGTATTTATTGTTATGAAATTAATGTACGTGATATTAACTCAAAGTATTATGGTTGTAAGCATTTTATCTTATTATAATTATTTTATTATATCATTTAATTCGCATACTACATCTATTCTGATTCTTAATTGGACTAACTTCTCATGATGGATTGAGCTAGCTAGTTTATTTCAATTCATGTGTGTTGGATCAATTGAGAAAACTCACTACTATTACTGATGAAAGCAATGAGGAAGAAAAAGATTCTCCAAAAAGTTGGGAAAGATTGAACAAATTAAATATTATGTTTATGCGAATAATTGTTCCCCAAATTAATAGTGGTAAGGAATGTTTGAATGAAATATATATATTTTTTATATTGTAGATAAATATTTAGTAGGAAAAATAATGATTGATCTCACTACTATGCAATTTAACGCTACTTGTACTGTGTATGATCATGTTTTGAGATGACTAATCTTACTGTAAAATTGGAAACCTTAGGGATAATTGTGGATGAGACTTTTCTCATTCAATTTATTCTCAATTTCTTGTCTACTCGGAATGGGGCAATTTCAAATTCGCTATTAAAGACAAGTGGAATATGAATGAATTGGCCAGTATGTCAATTTAGGAGGAGGCAAGGTTTAAGTAACAAGGTAATCGCTGTGTTCATCTCATGACTCAAGGAGTCAGAAAAGAAATTGGGAAGAAGCCTAAAAAGGGCATGAAGTGAGCAACACCACCCAAAAAAAAAAAATTCCGGTCAATTTATTAAAAGAAAAGAATGTGATCATGCAAAAATGTTATTTATATATTGGATACTTTTAGAAAGATTATATAAAATATAAAGAATGATTTGAATAGAAAGGTAAGCCTTTGGCTTTTGTATGTTTCGAATCAAACTTACTGAAATTTTTAATAATACATGATGGGTTTACACAAATACTAATGTTTATGCTTCTAATAGATGCAAGGTTTTCTTATTACTTATACCATAAATTCAAATGAAAATTTCTTATTTAAGAGAATTGGAAAAAAGCTCTTGTTGAAATCATTGAGACATTTTATTTAGTCTTAAATAGTGAATTTCATTTAAATTTATTTCAAATTCTTTACATTCCTTCAAATTCCGTAATTTGATTTCTATGTCAAAACTTGATGTTGATGGTTTTTCCTTTAAATTTGGTAATGGATATTTCAGTTTGATAAAAAAAAATCCTATTTGTTAGTTTTGGTATCTTATTGATGATTTGTACAAATTAAAGTTTGATTATTTATTTTCTGAAACCCTTTTGACCTTGCATCATAATGTTTGAACAAAGTGTGGCTCAATTAATGAAAGTTCATCTTTCTTGTGGCATAAAAGGTTGAGTCATATATCTAGTGAAATGTTAAAAAGATTAGTAAAATATGAAATTGTTCAAAATCTAGATTTTACTGATTTTAGTGTGTGTGTGTGTAGATTGTATTAAAGGTAAACAAACCAAACATACAAAGAAAGAAGCCACAAAAAGTACATGTCTTCTTGAAATTATTTATACAGATATTTGTGGACTTTTTGATGTTCCATCTTTTGGTGAAAAAAAGTATTTTATCATATTTATAGATGATTTTTTACGTTAGGAATATATTTAGTTGTTGCATAAAAAATCTTAAGTAGTGGATACTCTTGAAGTATACTTAAATGAGATTGAAATGCAACTAGATAGAAAAGTGAAAATCATTACGTCAGATATAGATAGTAACTATTATGGAAAATATAACGAAATGGACCAATGCCCTAGTACAGTTGCTAAACTCCTTGAAAGGCATGACATTTGTATTGAATACACTATGCCATGTGCCCCACAGCAGAATGATGTAGCTGAAAGGCGTAATCATACTCTTATAGATATGGTTAGGAGTAAGTTAAGTAATTTCTCATTACTCATGACGTTGTGGATGTACGCTCTTAGAATCGCTATGTATGTATTAAACAGTTCCTAGTAAGGCAGGTTCCAAAGAATCTTTTTGAATTGTGGACAGGAAGGAAACCTTGTTTAAGGCACCCGCATATTTGGTGTCGCCTAGCGGAAATTAGGATTTATAATCCATATGAAAATAGATTGGATTTTAAAACGGTTAGTGAGTATTTTATTGGTTACCTAGAAAAATTCAAAGGGTATAGGTTATCCTATCCTTCACATAGTATGAGAATTGTTAAAACCGGTAATGCCATATTAATTGAGAATGGTGAAATCAGTGGGAGTGATAAATATAAGAATGTAATCATTCAAAAAGTTAGGGTA